ACAATTTTCAAAAACTACTAACCAAACACCAAATAGTTACCAAATAGAATCTTAAAATTTAAAGTTGTCTATAAGGTTCTCTAGCTTCAAAAAAACATCTAATGGGTTGGGTTACTAAACTTTCAATCTTACGTGTATTAGATCCATAAACTTTATAACGTGTATCATGTTCCTGAACATTTGATTATATCTAATACATCTATAAACTTTTAATTACGTGCTTAATAGATCCCTCACCTACCAGATACATTTTTTAGTCCAAAGACTTATTGGACAATTTTCAAAGTAAAGGGATCTATTAGACATTTTTTAAAGTTCATGAATCTCTTAGACACAACAATCCAAAATGCAAAAATCTAATTTAACCACGGCAAAAACATTTGTACCTGAACATATGATAGCTGTATAAACATTGGGTCTGCAACTGCTTCGTCAGACTCCCGAAACAGCTTCTTTTTAAACGTCAGCTTGAAGTGCAGAATTTCTCCTTTACTTCGATCTTTTGCTGCCTTGAATTCTGCTAACAGATCTCCAATATATTTGTTATCATCAAGCCCAACATACTCCTCTGTTGAGAAGAATTTCATGTAAGATTAAGATGTCTATTTGACCGTTCAAATTAGAAACAAAATGTGATGAGTTAAATTGTACCATTTCCTAGATCAAGTGCTTTAGCCCCACTGACAATCTTACGGCATTCAAAAAGACTGAAGCTAGAGTGTGCTGACAGTTTTATAATTCCTGAAAGTTCCTGAACAAAAATAATGAAATGAGTTAAGATTTTAGATCGGAGCCACAAGGAAACATTCACTTTAGGAAAGCTAAAACTCATGCCTTTGTAACACAAATAAAGCAAGAGCTTCTTTCAACTCTAAATAAACAATTAAATAGAATTATCATCCACTGTTGTCATATCGTATGTGATTTCTTCAAATAACCAACTTTCCACCCCTAATTTACAAACAAAAAAACTATTCTCAAGCTTTTTATTTAAAATAAATAAATAAATAAAACATGTAGAAAACACGAAGTTATGAATCAACCTCAACCGAATCAGCCACTGTTGTTGTCATATCGTATGTGATTTCTTCAAAAGTTTCATCCAAGAAAAACACTATGGTTGTAAGCTTTCGCCCTGTTAAAAGAGCTTCAATTTCCTCACGACCAGGTATTATATGCCTGGGACCCGCCTTCATGCAACGCTTTAAAGCATTCAGTGTATTTAATGCAAAAACTCGAACCTCCGAATCAGTACTACTGCCTTGTGCAACATTATGAACATACTCTGAAAGATATCCACCAATATCCTTGCTAGGAGGCATCGCAGATGCACAAAGATACATCAGCTCCCATGCTTTGATCAAATATTGCCTGTAATATTTATTCATATACATAGAGAGATCAATCCAAAAGATATGGTAGTATATTGAACTTAGAATTTAATCATTAAAACCTAGGATGAACAAGGAAAAAAATAATTGAGAGCATACCAATCGGGAGAATTTCTAGTTTGCTTTGAGATTTGGATAAAAAGTTCATCTCGAAGCTCTGAACGTTTTAAAGTTTGCTTGTATAGTTTTCCAACAAGCTCAATTCGTTCATCTAAGCTTATTGCATTAACTCTATCAGACGAGTCGACACCCATGTACTTCAAGATTATTTGGAATAGTTTAATGGCTCGGCTCACCAAGTCAGAGTTAATTTTAAGTAATGAAGTTGGTATTGGATCCTGCACAAATTTGCAACTTACTTGTGTAAGAGTCTAGTGAGCACTTAAATTTCATGACAACAAGATGTTTTCACCTTTTGGAAACACAACATATCTTCAAATGTGAATTTTTCCCGAACTTGAGGACCGACAGATCGTTTGGAAAAGAATCCACGTTTTCCAGAAGAATGTATCTGTTTATGCATCATCCTTAAGAATCCTTCGACCTTTGAAAATAACATATAGAGAAATCAAATTTCAGGGATTATATACAATGAAAATAAAGAGCACGAACCCTTTCACACTTGCAGGTACCCTAAATATTTTCCCACCTGGAATTTATCAATCAAAGGTATGACCCCAGCAAGTTCGGCTGGAATCGCCATCGATATGGTTGTAGGAGTACTGCAGAAACAACCAAGGTGAAAGTTAATTATCAGAGCCAGAAAAAACTACTCAAGAAAACATCAAATCCAAGGGAATAGTACTAAAATAATACAACGCTTTCTGATTTTCATTGTTCCACTAAATGTCTGGTTCTTAGAACAATTGGACCAATAAACATTCATGAAATTAAATACAAAATGGATAAAATTTTAGAGATAACAGTTGAGGTGGGTATTTTGTTAACACTCACGGGGGTGCAAAGTTGGAGCCATCACTATCATAATCATCCCCATTTGAAGCAGCAGCAAAGCTTTGTAGAAGAGCATCATCGTTGCCACTGCTGGAGTTAAAGGAAGAACTCATTGTCCTAGCACTCTGAGCCATGTCAAAGGTCATTTGACAGTTGCAGAAATAGATTTAACTTCTCAGGATGATCCCTGTAAATTAAAACTGCAGAAACGGGGCCAAGGTTATCAGCATCATCGACCATGATATATGGAGTTTAACTCCTGAAAATGCTCCACAAACCCACAATTGAAAAGGTCAATTTCAATCACGATCGAATAAGAACATGAAGGGAAGCAGACAAAGAGATAGTATAGAAATTGACGAACTGATGACATTAAAGCAAATTAGTCCAAAATGAAAATCATTCTCGAACTCTAATATAAAACCCATTGTTAATCGAAGGGCACCACTAGAAAGTGAGAGAAAACAACAAATTGAAACGCACTGGACTAGGTACACATCAATTACTGGAAGAACAAAAGAAGTATACATAAAACGCAAATGAGCTACAAGAAAATAGATCCAGTGAAGTTAAAGAGCAATGCAAGAAAATCATCTGTTCATAACAAGAAAAAATGTGAGAGTAAATGCAGAGAACGAACAATTGACAGAGGTTGAAGAATGAACGATTAATTGCAGATGGAAGGAAAATGAGGAATGGGATTTGTAATCTTTTGGAAGCAAATGAGGGTTGGTGGAGAGATCTGAGGAGTCGCTGCCCGCCGGGTGGTAGAAGAAAACCCAAATGAAAGGGGAGAAGAAGAAGGAGAGAGAGAGGGAGAGAAAGCGAGCGCGAAGCAGTGGTGGGAGTCACGAGAGTGTTTTAAATGTGAAGCAAAGTAAAGGCTAAATGCTAAAGACAAAGGGCACCCAGTTTAGTTGCCGGCCTCACAATACCCAGAGATTGAGCCTAATTTAAAAATATATTAATTATTAATTTTCATTTATTAACAAATAATTTAATGAATTTCTATTTAAAATGTAGTTTTATAATTATTATTAAGAAATTTATTATATATATATATATATATATATATATATATATATTTATTTATTTATTTATATTTATAAAATAAAATTAAAAAAATGAGACTTCAGGTTTCATCTCAAAAAACAATATGTTTATTGTTTTCAGAAATAGAAAAATCCGTATAATCTCTAATTTAAGAGGGAAAATAATTACAAATTTATAAATTTAAAGAAAGAATTATAAGAATTATACCCCCAAAATCAAATCAGTGTACAAACATCACCATTGAAATGACATTAATCGAGGAAATTATGACCTAAACCGACATAAAACTACATCAATCTTCATCACTACCATAGTTTTGACACAATGACTCAAGTCCATTGTTCGTGTCGTTGATTCAAATAGTAATGAGAAATTTACCTCAACAAAGTAGCTTCCCTCGATAGTTATTACCTTAGCAAAACAAATGCACACCAAATACTCTTCTGCTTTTCTTTTGCGATTCTCACATGGTTCAAAATTGCTTGTCACTCTCGATTCTACGATATAATCGGAGTTTCGAGGGTCTGTTTTGATGATCAGCTCAGCAGAACATCCGGTACATTTAAAATAAAATCTGAACATCCGAATTCCTATATATGTCTGGTAAAAAAAGCATAAGAAAATTAATAACAATAAGAACAAATCAAAGGAAAAAGAGTATGTAAGGCATTCTTTACCTCACCAAAGACGATCTCCTTGCGAGAATTGAATTTGGTACTAATTAGCACAGGTATTGCATCGGATGCTCATCGGGAGCATCATACGGACCTTGATTTGGCTATTTTTGGGCGTATGAACCCGTTCGATGGATCAAAATCGGGTGAGTAGTATTTGTTAATAACTTACCTCTCTCCCATTTTATCTGAGTGATGCTACGCCGGCACGAGGAAGATGGCGGCGAAAGGACTGAACGGAAACAGGGGACAGCGGCGGCGGAAGCACTGAACTGGAAAAAGGAGCAGCGGCGGCGGCGTCACTGAACTGCCAGAGGAGACGGCTAAAGCACTGAACTATTTTTATTTCATTTACAAAGTGGAGAGCGGGAGTGTTCTATAAATAGAGTTTTTTTAGATCGAATTTAAAAATAAAATTTGAATTGTGTGTGAATTTATTTAATTTTTTTTATCTTTAATATAAATTTTAAACCTGATAAAAAAAAAAAAAAAAAAACATTGTATTTTACATTTTTTAATATCTAAATTAATTAATTAATTATATTTTTTTACGATTTTATCTTAATTTTTCACGGTTTCCTTTTTATATTATATTATCTGTTTTATAAAAAATATATATATTTAAAAAAAAAAAAAAAAAAAACTTTCAAATTTTTTCTTTTAACTTTAAATTTAGCTTATAATTTGTAATTATTTTGATTGTTTTATTTCCAACATTATCTATTTATAAAAAATTAAAATTATTAATGCAAAATATTTATTGGTGGACACACACGCACCATGTTCAATAAATGGTTCACACTGTATTCATACTTTTGTCTTATCCTACTAATTTTATCCATACATTTAATGATTCGTAAGTGACTTGTGTAGCTAAGTCAACGAGCCAATGGTCCGTAGAGTTGACTAAATAGGAAGCTGGAACACGGTTGACAATGCATATTTCCGTATGTTTATTATCCACGGTGATATACATTTACATAGACCTTAAACCAAACGATCTCTTTTGCTTACGTCGATGAGTTTTAGATTCTCACGAACACAAAGCTTTTAACTTAGACATACACGCTCGTGCAACGTATAGCTATGAATCATACCATAATAATTTGGGGCCATTGTACAAACCAAAGCCAATGGCTTCCTTAATTGGCTCCAAATCCTGAGGTGAACTTGACACCAGTGGACGGCAGCCACAGGTTCCCCTCAATGAACTGAGACACGGTGAAGTTAGTAGCCTCACTGGTTTGGTTCAGCCGGTGGTAACCCGGCCAGTTGATGCGCTTAGCCAACCCGGCCCCCGGTCCATAATTCATAAACTCGGCGTAAAACAAAGTATTCAAAGCAAAATCGCCATTCCACTCGAGCCAGCCTTCTGGCCTAATGGCATTGCTCATGTACGACTGCATGATAATGGTTCTTGAGTATTCCTTCCATGGCCTCCCGAGGTATGTTGCAGTGGTGTTAACTGATGGCTGCAGGTCGGAATCGGCGGAGATGTTGCAGAATTGAATGGAGAAGCCGGTGGGCTGATTCGGGTCCTTCCGGCCTTGGGCAGTGATGGTGTTTTTCTGGTTGGGAAGACCCTTCTTGGCTAGGATGGTGCAGTTTTGGAAGACCACGGTGGCGTCACCGAAGAGAAAGTCGACCGTGCCGCTGATGTGGCACTCGCGATAGAATTGGCGCATGGTGTGCGTGTATAGCGTGTCTTGGTAGCCACTCATACGGCACCTGAAGAACACTGACAGGTCCGAGTCGGACCTAAGTGCCACGGCTTGATGCTTCTCTGGTCCTGCCGTGTTCTCGAACGTTATGTCTCGTGCTATGAACCCTCTTCTTCCACTAACCGCTGCAAATTAAAAAAAAAAAAAAAAAAAA